TTTCCTGCAATTGTTGGAGACTTTCTTCCTGTTTCCTTTCTTGTTCCAGTTGCCACTGCTATAACCTCTCTTCTTGTTTATTTTATTTCTCCTCCAACCACTGCTGTAGTCTCTCTTGTTTATTTTATATCTACTCCAACCACTGCTGTAGTCTCTCTTGTTTATTTTGCTGTCTCAGCTGCCACTGTTACAGGTTTTCTTGCAACTGCTGTTGTCTCTCTTTTTGTTTATTTTCTCGTTCTTCTTGTTTCTTTTGCTGTTCTTGTATTGCTGCCATCAAATCTGCTAAGCTGTAGTTTGATTTGCCACCTCTCGTTTTCATCTTCTTTTTTTTCTTTTCCGTCCCACTTTCTGACACCAAATTGTATCTGCTTGTTTGTTAATTTCTCTTAGAAATTCTTTCCGAGAAACTTCAATGATACAAGTCCTTTCTTAATTAAATCTAGTTTATTCTTTATCAATACAGCTTTGCAACACACAGAATTTCTACAGCCAATTTAACTTAAACACACGCTATAATTCACAACGATTCACGCACTTACGGTCACTACCGCACGCTTGACTCAATTATCTGTCTCTATATCTATATATCTGCAATTATTTGACGGGGTTATATACTACAATAGAGGGCGCCTGGAAAAGACTATAGTTGCCAGGAAAACTCGTGATTCTTCTAGAAACTCATGACGTGTTACGTGACTTCCACTGTCGTAACATTATGTTAAAACACCTTATCTAAGCCACTTCCTACAGTCAGTTTCTACCGGCAAGGAATTTTTACAGATGATATTAATAACTGTCTTTAGACATGACAACTCAAACGAGCCAGGATTTGAAACATTGTTTCTGTTCACTGGCTTTAAGACTTTTTTAACATTTTATTATTAGTAGTTTTAGTTTAGTTTGGAGAATAAAACAGCTGAGATGGACAAATAGGTCCCATGTTGTTCCAAAATATTATGTTATGCTCATGAGCATCTGCAGAAATTTTTCCAGGGGGTGGCAAAGTCGAGATCAGGGGACTGTGAACCTGCCTTAAAAGTTTTCCCATTATAGTCAAGAGAATAGGCAAGCTCCCACAGTCAGATTTGATGGGTTTATTATTTGTAAGGTTAGATTAAGCCATACTGCATCAGTCTCTTTGAAATCCTGCTACAGTTATTACCGGCCTGCGGCAACAGATTGACCCCAACCTCCAATGTTGTAGTCGAGACCTCAATGACCAGGACCTCAGGGTTAGAGAACGAGACCTTAGGGGTTGAGACCAAGACCGAGGCCTTATAATAAATTACACAGTGAAAAATGAAGCAAGAAGAATAAATATCACATGCATCAAACAAACTGTATTAATATCTTAATATTTTACACGTTAACCACACAGTCTTTATTTTAACGCCTCCTCCTATGAAAAAAAGAAAAGAAAGAAAATGTAAAAAAAAATAATGAATGAAAAAAAAACAAATCAAAAAGATCAGCAAATAAAACTAAAACCTATATTGGTGTCAGCAAATTCTTTATGATCTTTAAAGTCAAACAGGATCACACCAGATCTACTAGACATGTTGAATATCAGGTATAATTGCTAACGTTTGACATAAAAAAATACGTGCACCAGATAAAGTTCTTATACATTTGTAGTAAGCCTACGCATAATACAGTGTATAGTGGCAGTTAGTTTTGAATAGCGCGTATTATAACCGCGGATAGGCGTGCAGGCAATATGGCGGTTGGTGACGTAAACAAAAATAATAAGGCGCTATTAAAATCGTTGCTAAGGTGTAGTACCTTGTGGGTTTTACTTGTAAAAGATCTTCAATGCTACACCGCGCCTCGTATGAATTGCTGCGTAATCGATATTTAGCGCTTAATAATCATGGGTAGGTGACTGATCTAATACTGTTAAAACTAAAATTTAGCCGGTCTCGTTTTTGAAACCTGTAAAACACGGAGACCGAAATATTCCGAAGGGTGGCCTCTATACCTACAACACTGTCGATCACACTGTGTTAGGGCTCAGGGGATATCAGTAAGACCGCCTCGGTCTCTTTGACGACTCGACTGACAATTGCCATGTCGAATATCCAAAAAGCCGCCGTGGTAGCGACGTTTTTCAATATCTAACTACAGGGTAGATATTTATAGATTTTAAGTAAAGCTGCTGGCAACTTTTATTAGTATTGAAAATTATGTGTAATAAGTAGTGTGAAATTGTGAAGTGAATAAAAAAAAACTTTTAAATTCATAAAGAAAGAATCATGTTTCTCATTTTCCGGGGACTCCTATCGTTATACTATTGAGTAGGTAAATATGTTCATGTAACTCACAGTATTCTTCACACACTTAAAGAAATTAATATACTGAACTTTGTATGTTCATGTTTTTGTTTTGTGTAAAATCAAATCAAATAATTTGTAGTCTAGTCTCACTTCTTGGTTTAACGATTCAAACTAAAAGAAGTATTCTGCAGCTAATATTTTTACACGTATCTTATTCTTAAAATCTTGGTTAAGTTTAAACTTTCCCTTCCAAAACTAAGTTATAATAAGAATAAAATGGGTGATATATAATAAAATTAATATCTTAAATGGCAAAACTCTAACTAAAGACTACTACTATGTTTAGTTCACAAAATGACAAACTAACGAGAATAGTAATGGCTATACTGTGAAAAGAATCGCCGAGTCATGAAAGGTCTTCGATGGGTTTATTGTATTAATACATACAGCCGTGCAAGAAAACTTTCCTTCTGTTACGCGCCCCCCAATCGCACAGCGGCATGTCTGCGGACAACGCCAGAAACCAGGTTTCGACACCCGTGGTGAGCTGAGTACAGATAGCCAGTTGTGTAACTTTGTGCTTAACTACGAACATTCTTTACGCTACGCCTACAAAAACACTGGTCTATCCTAATGTTTGCAACGTTGTAATGCGTTATCCTCTATCATACTTTAAGAGCTTGAACTAAACTGTCATTTAACACCAATAACTTATCTTTATAAATAGATTATACATAATTACGAATAGTAAACGTATATAAATTTAAAAAAAGTTCATTACCTTATAACCTGGAATTAGTCACCTACAATCGTTGCCCTGACACCTCGCTTTCACTCCTTTTTATATAAATATCAGTGTGCGTACACGCATCCAACTGATATGGTTATAATACGCATGCTCACTGGTGCACCAATCATTGCAAATACTAAATAGATATGTTCCTGCAAAAATTTATGACAAATGCTTGAGAAGTAGCGCTGAAAACACGGTTATATACACGTAATAAAATAGATACTTGACTCGTTTCAGCACTCTTACAAACTTCTTCATAAGCAACGTTTCAGTTGCAAATTCATTATTCCAGCACTAAGGAACACTAATTAGTAGACCGTCTCATGTATCTTTCAAGCTTGTGTTTTTCAGACTCGTGTTAGATCATGTTTTGTGGTATACTTTCGCAGAAGGCCAAAAACATTGTTATGACAAATGTTGAGTTGTGAAAAAAATAAAATTTGTATATTATAAGTAGAAAGCAATCAGTACACCCAGAAATAGTTAGGAGGCATTATTTTCACGTATGACCTGTAGGATTGTTTTGATTGATTGGTTGTTTTTGTTAAGCACCAAAAGTACACAATAGGCTATTTGTGCTTTGCCTACCACGGGTTTCGATTAGGGATGCACGGGTAGTAAAATTTAGCCGATTACCGGGTCTGGGTACCCGGACACTAAGCTTTGGCCAGGACTGGGCCCCCCCCCCCTAAAAATAAATAAAAAATAAACAACAAAAACAAAATTGACGTTTTTACATTTAACCGAATAATACAACAACAGAACATTCAAGTTTTACTTTCAACTTTCAAAATTAACTAACAAAAATGTGCACACCAGTTTAAAGAATGCCTGTATTTTTATAATTTATTTAATTTGTACTTGAGGAACAGTAGCATTTCGGCGTTTTCGGGTAAAAGCCTTGACCTTTCGTTTGTGATAATGTCACCATCAGCGCTAAAAGCCAGTTCTCTGTTTACGCTGGTCGAAGATGCGGAGATATAACGCCTTGCTATCCTGGCCATTGTGTATAATCGACCTTCATTTGACTTCCAAAAGTCGAGCGGATCGGGATTCTTTGAACGGTAAATTGATGGCTCATCAAGAAATTGTCGTAGTTCTTCAGAGGAAGTCGAGGTGTTGGCATTTGTGTCTGCTATTAAAAGAAGATAAACTCTGCTAACGTTTTCAAGTACAACGTGCATTGTAGATTAGTTCATAGTCAGCAAACCAAAGCGGTAAATGGTTTGTAATTTGGAATTAAAGGCAAGAATTGGTAAAAAAAAAAAGTGAACAAGAGAGCTGAAGGAGGATTTGGTGGAGGAATAAAAAAAATATAAAGGATTACTTACATAGAATCTTTGACTCAAACTCTGCCCAGGAGCCTTCTAACTCTGGAACATTGTGGGACTTGTCGGTTAGGGATTCATGAAATCATGAGCTTGTACCAATGAAAGCAACTTAGCCTTTGCGTAGCTTTCCCTGTCAGGATATAGTCGGCTTTGTAACCTGTGTCAAGTAACATCGCGACTGTGTAAACTTTGGTTTCCTCACAGAAGGCAAATCGTTTATCCATTGAATCTAATAGAGAATTTCTTATGAATTTTAGGTCGGGAATATTTTTTCTTCAAAATCTTCACCCGTTGGGATGACATCAGATGCCCAGGCATTTGAGCGACTCAAATTCCTTGTTTCGTGCTCGAATGGCTCAAGAATGGAAGAAACATTTTCTGCTATAGACCACTGGGATTGAGTAAAGATGAAGATATTATAGTCAGAGGCATAGATCGTCAGGGCTCGTTTTTGCTCAACTAGGTGTTTGAGCGTGTTGTGAGAGCTATTCCACCTCGTTAGCACATCCTGAATTAATTTATGCTTGCTTGAATCTCTTTCAGTTTTTCTGAGGCAGAAGACGAATGTTTAAAATGACCAACAACTGAGTACATCTTCATCAGACTTCTGCTTTTGTATTCCATCATGTATCACAAGTTGCAGGGTATGAGCCATGCATCCCACATTGGATACGGTGCTTAGATTTAAGGCATTTGTGATGTTGCGGCCTTTGTCTCGGAGCACAATGTGAACAGGCTGAGGTTGCAGATCCCACTTGCCAAGCGCATTGAGAAAATCTATTGACAAGTTTGGTCTGATGTGTGACTCTTGGAGGTGCTTAAGAGATAGAAGCACGAGCTGTCAATCCCAGTTTCTGTCAATCCAATGTGCAATTATGGCGAGATAGGACAAAGGGTTGCCATCAGAAGTCCATGCAACTGTAGTAATGCTGACGTGTGGCGCAAGCGATTCTTTAAGGACAATTCTCAATTTTCTTTCAACTTCATCGCAGAGTTTTGGAATTGCAAAGACCAAAAAGTAATGTCACGTTAATAGATTACAACGAGACTCTAAGGTGGCGATTATATGTTGGAATTCTTCATTTTCAACCACCGAATGCAGTTGCTCATCAAGCACAATCATCTCGCTAATGCCACGAGTAATTAACGATGCAAGTGGAGCATCACTGGAGAAGGGTTTAGTCTTCTGAAAACATTGCTTGAAAGTTTGCATTTTACTCCTCTTAGCCATCGAAATTTCAGCAGCGACATCTTCGTTGTCACGTTTTCTCTTCTTGTTCTCGTTTTCGTCGCTCTGCATGGTTATGAATTCTTCTTTATGAAATGAAGTGAGATGATTTCTCAGCGATTGGGTTCCAAACATCTTGGGTGGCATTACACTCATATATATTGTTGCGTCAGAGGGTCACGTGACTATTGTCACGCCGCCTATTTTCTGGAAGTATCTTGTTCCTTCGTGAATGCCCTAGCATTTACTAGATATATGTTTTTTCTGGTATATAAATAGGACGCTCACAACGTGACAATAATGTGTGTGTAGATAGTGAGTAATTGAACTGCAGTCAGAAGTATTGTTGACGTTCGTTGATTAGCGTTTGTTATAGAGCGACTGTTGAAAATAAGTGTATCGTAAAGTTGTATTCGGAAAGAATAAACCAGTTTTATTAAGTAAGGACTTGTGTCGTCGGAACGAAGTTACGGAAAATCAATTAACAAACGGAGACGTAACAATATCATGGTGGAGCAAAGGTTGCACTTTGCGAACCCATTCGTTTTGTTCTCAAAAACAAAATATCTCCAGATCAAGCTAGCCATGTTTACCGTTGGAATGAAAAAATTACTAAATTAATAAATTAAAATCATCTTTTGACTAAAAGAAGGTAAAATTTAACTTTCCACAACAGCGAGAAGCGGTAATGAACTGAGTTGAAAAGCCTGGAGACAACAGCAATATATAAGGTGGAAAACTAACAACTTTGAGATTTAATTTTTATTGAGATAGAAAGATTGAAAATTACTTACCAACCCCATGCAATTGCTAAGACCAGTGAAAGTAAGCGCAAAAACAATAATGTTGACATGTTTTAGAATCATTATGTTTATTAATGCCTAGCCCCAACTTCTCAAACCCTAATCTCCATTGTTCTCAAAACCCCCACCTTCCCCAGAAATCCACTTCTGAAGCCATGCCTGTTATTAACCCCTATTGTTCTTTGAATCTCCGACTTTCAGCGGGCGATCAGCCAATTATTTACTGACAATATCAACAAAAAAAGCCCCCCCAGTGGCACAGCGGTATGTGAAGCTAGAAACTGGGTTTCGATAGCCGTGGTGGGCAGAGCACAGATAACCCTTGTGTAGCTTTGAGCATAATTAAAAAACTAACAAACAAACAACAACAAAAAAGTGAAAATAGATTGAAAGACGTGGAATGTTGGTTTTGTGTACAGTCATTATGAGTTAAACAACAGCACTTGTAAATCTATAAACTAATAATACTTACAGTTCATACGCATGACCTATTTGTGTACAGTCATTATGAGTTAAACAACAGCACTTGTAAATCTATAAACTAATAATACTTACAGTTCACACGCATGACCTATTTGTGTACAGTCATTATGAGTTAAACTATTATTAGTTTATAGATTTACAAGTGCTGTTGTTTAACTCATAATGACTGTACACAAAACCAACATTCCAGAAAATAGGTCATGCGTATGAACTGTAAGTATTATTAGTTTATAGATTTACAAGTGCTGTTGTTTAACTCATAATGACTGTACACAAAACCAACATTCCAGAAAATAGGTCATGCGTATGAACTGTAACTATTATTAGTTTATAGATTTAAAAGTGCTATTGTTACAGTTCATACGCATGACCTATTTTCCGTGGAGCTATCTTTCAGATCTTTCTTGTAAACTTCATTATCTACTATTTACCATCTGTTACTTTAGTTCTCCAATAGGCGTGTCAGACTTATGTGTGTATAGCTCAAGCACAGATAAAAATATTTAATCTCTACGAAAAAGTTTAGATTATCACATTTATTTATTTTTAACTTGTGGTTGTTTTCTTTACAACTTGCTTTCTTAGAACAAGAAAAGAGTGTTTTTTTTGCTTTTTTTTTTCATGAAGACAAAATATAAGAACCAACGATAATATTAAATAACTTTATGTACACTACAACACTAGAGGAAATATTAGGGAAGGATAACCTGACAATCACAAAAATTAAAAAAAAAGCAAACAATACGTACAGCTGTAAATATTTTAACTTTCAACATACTATATAATAGTTTACCTTGAACTAACCATGCGCCCGCGTGCACTTCTTCAGTCAAGATTAGTCAGCCTTCAAGGTTTCCTCGACAACCTTTCCTGGTCACGTGATCTTTACATATTTTTCACCTTCATTACCCCATACATCTTGACCTTTACCCTTTATAATTTTAAAGAAGAAAAGTCATATATTTGAAAGCACTTGCGTTTCTGGGTTTTTAAAATCTACTGAAATTTTATGGTGATCCGTTGTGCTAGTTCTGTTATCATGACTTATATTACAGTTAAATATTTTTCACGAAATTCATCTCCACCTAAAGTTTCTGACTATCCAATTATTTACTCATCCAGTCCCTTTACTACTACTCAATGCTCACTTTTAATTCCGGCTATCATTTTATCATATTGAATCTAATTATAGTTTTAAAATTAAACTTTCATGAATCCTCTATTTTAGG